CTGAATCCAGTCTAATTTATGTCTTGGTCTTTTCATTTGTATTGTGTGACTATTAAGCGTTGAAACTTTAATTCTATTCTAGTCTTGTATTTTGAAGTGTGCCTCAGGCACTCTTCTTTGCACAAGAGCCGAGTGTAATTTTGTGTAACAGATGTTGCTTTGAGTAGTCGATGGAGAACCGTGACTTGCCGGCTCTGGTCGTCCCCATTACAACCACCACCTTCTTCTTGGGCCGCCAGGGAATTAAGGTATCCAGCTTGAGCCGTAGGAGTATCAGTGCCACGAGCGCGTCTAAGATGGACGAGGTGAGTGAGGTTGCTAAAATGCCAGATCTGGGTTTGAGAGAAGAAGAAGAAGGGAGAAGAGAGAGAAAGAAAGAATAAGAAGAAGAAAAAAGAAGGATGAGGAGGGAGGAGGAAAGGAGGAAGAAGATGATGTTTGAGGGAGAACCCAGATCTGGTTTGTAGAGGTAAAGGAAAAGGAGAGAGAAAGTGAGATAGGAAGAAGAAATGACGTGATGAAAAAAAATTATTATTTTAAAATTAAATAAAAATGCCAACTAATGCCAAGTCATAGGTTAATTATGATTTTTTTTTCCATGTCATTAGTTAAGCAAAAAATGAATTGATTTTGTGGCATCTTAACGAGCCACCTGGCGTTTAACTGACGGAAGGATCATTTTGGTACCAAAAATGAAAGTTTAAGGATAATTTTGGTACTTTTTAAAGTTGAGGGACAATTTTGGTACTAAAGTGATAAGTTGAGGGACCAAAATGGTACTTAAACCAAAATTCATTAAAAATCACACCCGATTCATCCAAATTGCAATAAAGTCAAAACTATAATTAAAGATTAAATCATATAGAATGCATCTGATCATTATTTTTGGAATGATACAGTACATGGATACTGGAGAAAGAAGAAAAGAATTAAAATGGAATTAGTTCTAATTAGGATGCTTTCTGAACAAACAAAAATGGTCCAATTAATTATCAAAGAAGCTCATGGGTGTAAGTCCATGAACTAGTCTGGCATAGCGTAGCCCAATAAATCCATCTACAACTTTTGCGCGTATCAAAGGATTAAATGTAAAGGTCATGCACCTTGAAATAATTTGCACATAATACTACCTTAAAACATTACTGCATCCACCTTCATATATATCGTTACACTGTCCTTGATATGGCCAGAAAAGTCAGGAAAAAGTCCAAGAAAATCCATGCCTTGTGATTTTCCATGTTCAAAAGCTCTTCCATTCCGTAGAGAGACCTTTGAAAATTGAGATTTAAGGATCAAACAAATAAGAGAGAGGATAACTCGTCCAGTATTGTTGATTTCTTACCCATAGAGAAAAGGATAATTTCATCGTTATCTTCTATATGGCAATTTTTACCCATTCCACATTCACAATAAAATGGAGAGATAGGAAGAAGATCAATTTACATTTAATTATGTGAAAATGAGGCTTGAAAGTTCAATTGTGCTGCATCATATATACCTGGTCAAATAATCTAAAATTGTTGGCTCAAGACAATATGAGTTTCCAAATGTTGGCTTTGCCTAAGAACGTCATTTAGAAAGCTCATTTGTGGCTTTCATCAATATAGATAATTCTAATGTAAAGTTGAACTCTTCAATCCCTTTCCAAGAAAACAACCTGAAAAGGTTAATGAAATAAGAAACCATTTTGGAGGCAATTGAATGCATTTTTTCAGATAAAGAAACTGAAAGGAAATGCAAGTCTTGGAACTTCATCTGGAAATAGAGGTGCCAGAAACAACATATATGAATTGCATAGTGCATAAGTTTTTACTTAATCCAAGGGTTAACTTATCACCCAGAATGCCTCATTTTACATATTTTCCTTAGGACCAAAAAAAAAAAAACATTTTCAAATGCAAATATTAACTGTTACTCTTAATTTAAATATCTAACAGAAACTGATTACAAGGTACTTAACTCATAATCGAAGCTGTTACTAACACTGAGCTTCTCTACTATTTTCTTGTGTTAACTTTTCAGAGGTGATGTGCAGTACTGTTGATGACTTGATGGTATATACAAGTCCAATTATACTCCATCACCAAGAGTCCAATACAGATAATAGCTTGAACTTGAATATGGAATAGAAAGATAACAATGAGCTTTTCAAGCTTGGGGATGCATGGATAAAAAACCAATCTATGTATAATACACTGTTCCAAAGAGGCTTACCAAATACCACACTCAACAAGTATTCTTCTTCTCTCTGTACCCAATTAAACGGAAAATAATCAAACTCAACAACAAAGTTTCTTCTACTTTAGGAAACAACAGAGGTTGTACACAACAATAAATCATCAAGAATAAATTCTTGGATCACTAATGTCATAGTCATCACCATAATAAAGCTGGAAGTCAAAATCTCCCATCAAATTGGGATAAATCTCACCAAGTGTGCTCAGTGTGTTCCAAGAAGAACTGGAGACCAAATCACTGTTGATCATCTGGCAGAACTAACTAATCTACTGAGCTTACTTGCTGCTGTCGCAACTCACCCTCACCGTCTCTCTACTGTTTTTGCAATGATGATCAAAACCAGCAACTAGCCATTATTTAAAGCTCCCCTGACTTGATATATTTCAAAATCCAAGCCCCATGTAGTTCATGTGTGAGTTCATGAAGACTTCTCTCAACACCACATGGAAGGATATATACAACAAAGGAATCCTGAAGAAATAAGAAATTAATTGAAATGGTTAGTTAACATAATTGAGTATGGCATAAATTAGTCTAATAATAAGTCCACCGACCACTAATAACTTGGATTCTAAATTTCAAAATTTGCACATATTAAAGAATTAAAACATGACAATGCACCTTGAAATGATTTTCACGTAATGCTGCCTCGAAGCATTACTCCATCCACTTTCATAAATATCCTTGAATTGTCCTTGATTAAGCGAATTGATCAGGGGAAGTTACAAGAAAAACTCAAAGAAAATCCATGTCCTGCAAAAGTGAATTAAAGCTTAGCATTATCTTGATGAAATGATAGAGACTCTTTTGAACAACGGAGGGATGAGAAGATGAAGCCTGCCTTACCAGAGAGAGCATTCTTTGGAGGGTAGACGGTTGTAGCTGCAACTATGAGTCTATGACAGATTTTGTGAGCACCACCATTTTTCATTGAGTTAGATCTTGAAGCTACGTTGCAAGTCCATCCATTGTTAAGTAAAGCAGCAGTTAAAGCAACTGTGTTTATGCCGTAATCTTGGTTGTGACTTAAGATGAATAAAGAGGGAACACAATGCACATTGTTGGATCATTCATTGCTGACTCATCATACATACCAGAAGCTTCACCTCTTGCATGAAAGGAAGCATTAATATCAAAGCATCCAGCTCAGTTGAAAATAGCAAAGGGTTTAATCAGATGCTGTAAGATAAAAAAAGGACAAGAACTAATTATAAGTTGGGCGTTACACAGTTTCAGGGAAGCAAACACTAAAATTATGGGAAATGTGATGATAAATAAGAACAAGATGGGGGAGAGGCAAATAAGGGAACATGTGGACACTAAGTTGGACTAACTTCTTGATATCTACCTAATTTCCATGCATTGGAATCAAAATTAAGATAAAAAAAATACATATATACAAATAGCTGGTAACACAAATACAAAACAAATCAGAGTCAATTACATCAGCAAAATGTATCACTTTGCAAATGATGGATAGAGATATCATGATATATAATTCTTCAAAATATATCACTTTTTGCTTATCCTAAAAATTAACACAACCAAGAGAAATAGGCAGCATGATAAAACTTGAGACAGGTTATTTGGTTACTCATAGAATATGTAGCTTGACATGATTAGAATACAAGATTGTTTAATTCAGCAATGGTGACATCCGTTTTCTAGTTCCAGCTAGCAGAAAAATCTAATCTGTACAAAGGCCAGTCCAAATGGAGAAACACCAAAAAACATGTGGCAGGAAAGGAGGGTACCATTGAGAATATCCTTTTGAATTAAAATTCAATTATTGTTTCAAAACTCTCCCCAATTCTTCAAAATGGAAAGCATGAGGTTCTGCAGTAATGAATTCAAAATTCGAACGGGTTGGCTTGCCTAGGAACCTCATTTTTCAACTTGCAAGCTCATTCGTGGTTGTGGCTTTATCAATATATTTGTGAATTCCCGTAATGCCAAGGCCAACCGCTCATCCCCTTTCAAATAATCTGAAAAGTATGAGCCATTTTTGAGGCAATTGAATGCATGTTTTCTACACAAAATAAATAGAATATAATGTTTTGGGCAATTTACATGGGACTTCACTTCATCATCCATAAATTATAATAAAAATAAATTTAAGGAATGAATGAAGTACGAGTAACATTGAGGAGTGGCTGGGCTTTATTTACCTCAACATTTGGTTCTAGATAGCTCGCTCTACCAGTCAACCTGCACAGAGTGGATTTGCAATGCATATATATAAGAAAAAGCAGCACAAGTGAAAGAAAATTGTTGTCTGTTATCATTTTTCTAAATTCTCATATGAAAAGCATAAAATGGTGATGCCTATTTTAGTTCACACCAAGCTCTTATTACCTCATCCTCATCTATCAAAACGCAAGGAATGCTCCAGGTGAGAGTCCAGTAGTCTCCTTTTGCCTCAAAGTGCTGTCGTTTTAGATGCGGACCCTCGCTGATGCATAGTTGTCCAAGCGAGGGAGGGAAGGCTTCCCTTGGCAAAGATTGTAGCTTCTGGCAGTTGGAGATCCATAACGTTTCAAAGGAGCTTAGGTTTTGGAAGAGCCTCCAAGGTATGGATTTTAAATTTTCTTCATTCCAGATCTGAAGAGAGGTTAAAGAAGAAGGCAGCACAATATCCAGAGGGAATTTTTGCTCAATTGCCAACCATCGAAGAGATGTAAGGTTTTGGAGGCCCATTGTCAAAGCTCCACCTGGGATTCCTAGAATCTGAAGCGATGTGAGCTAGTACATTGTATTCGGCACACACTTGAGATTCTTACAGTCCTCTAATTGAAGATCTGTTAAATTTGGGGGCAAACCCTTTTCTGGAATGAACTCGATACTGAGGCAGTCTGCAATGCATAGCTGTTGAAGAGATTTTAGCTGGTACATGGTATTTGGGAGGGATTTGAAATTCTCACATCGTCGTATTCTCAAAGACTTAAGATTGGGGGTGCATAACCCCAACTCTTCTGGTAAGGACTCTAAAGCTTCACAGTCGAAAATAGGTAAGTCAAGGAGACTGCTGACACAATCAAGGGCAGGTAAATTTTTCAACATTTTACAATGGTGAATATCAATGGCTTGGAGTCTCGTGCAATGTTGCAGCATTCTCTCTGGAAATGATTCTAGCCACTTGCCACCATCAGTAACTGTAAATTTCTTGACAAAAGCTGGTGGTTGATGACAACCCTCAGAAGAATACAAACATGGAACATTCCTTATTTCTAAATGTAGATTGCTATTATTGTCGCCATCCGCATCTGGTAGAGACTCTAGACCCATATAGTCTACCATTCTCAAGTATTTAAGCATGATGGGTAATTTGCGTCTTGGAAAAGACTTGAGAGAATCACAATCATAAATTTCCAACTTTTCTAGTCTCAACATCAGCATGCTAGTGTTGCTGCTATTGCTTCCAACCATCCTCATCATCATTGCATCAGGCAATGACTCCAAAGCTCCACATCTCTCAAGACTAAGATGTTTAAGATTGAAAGGCAAAAGGCCTTGTTCTATTTCTCTCCTTTCCTCCCACAAACAAGTAAGATCATTGCACTGTTCAATATACAAAGTCTCAAGTGCTGTCAAGGACTGTGTAAAACTCTTGGGCAAGCGAGTCAATTCTGCAATTTCCCTTATTCTCAATTTAGTGAGGGAAGTGAGATCAACCATGCTCTTTAAAAGCATGGCATTGCAATTTCTAACATCCAACTCTTTAAGGGAAGAA